ATCAATTTTGAAATAAGCTATTCCGGAATAGTTATTCCAAAATAGCTTATTTCGAAAGAGCACATCTACACTACAGAGAAGCCTAGAATTTAGTCTAGGGCAGGCTTCTCTAATGTCAACATGCTATCTTGATTTAGAGTCCCAGGAGGAATAACTTAGAATGGCCCTGGGGAGGGGCTATTTCAGAATAGCAGAAGAGCCTCTACACATGCCTTATTTCGAAACAGCTGTTTTGGAATAGGCATTATTCCTCGTAGAATGAGGTTTACAGATTTTGGAATAAGCCGTCCGTTAGTTCGAAATTATTTCAAAATAACGGAATGCCTGTGAAGACACTGACATAGTTATTTTGGAATAACGGTCGTTCTTCTGAAATAACTTTTCTATGTAGACATACTCCCATGTATATACTGTGCCCTGATGATAGACATACCCTATGGCAAGGAGGTTGATAAAGGAAATCAAGTGGACTTCTGTAGAAAATACACAGGGGTTGATGTCCTGCCTATCATAGAAGTACTGGAGAAAAGTTCTACACATGGGAGCTGCATACTAGTCCCAGCCGGTTCCAGTATTCTTCATATACTGACTGAGATTTCTAGCTTTAATGTTGGTCCTTGTTCTTTGCAAATTAGACCTTTGACCTGCAATTTACAGCTTTATCACATTAGAAGTCCTGTAGTTGGCCAGCTTGTTAAAGTAAGTCTGTATAGTTCATAAATATTCATGGCTCTTTGTTTGTTCATCTAATACAAGAAGATTATGCTTTGTGCCATGACACAACTGATCAAAAATGTGGCAAAATTGAAGTATTGTAAAAATAACTTTAGGCTAGTAGCCCTGGGTGGCCCACACAGCAGTTTATAAGAAACCTGTTTCATGTTTGTTACGGTCTATGAGGCCCCCACTTCTCCTCCATAGGAGACAATACTGGCCATAGGATGAAAGAGGGGTGGTTGTTGTTTTTTGGGGGGGAGGGTGATATGTTGACCAGAGTGCAGTTCCTTTTTTTTGTTTGCTCTTGTACATTTTCTGCCAACACACATTGTGAAAAGATAACGTAGTAACTAAAAAACTTTTAAAATATGAGAGGCATTGTATTTTTTTTAGAATAATTTGAATGACAATCCTGAAATGCTTGTAGATGTGTTTCTAAATCATTGAATTTTTGTTAAAAATAACATTTTCTCTAAATGTGGCATTGATGGAAGTAAAAAAAAATAAAAAAAGCTAGAAAACTTTCACATCTTCATTCTGGCTCTTTGGCTTACAGTGTAAAAAACAGTGTTGATCCTTAAACTTTCAATGAAATTTAAATTCTTGTATTTTTTCCATTAGTACTGTTTCTCTGTACATTGTGCTAATCATGGATGCAAACTCTACTGCCAAAGCAGTTTGATTTAGCTCATATATTTATAAGATTCTTATCAACCATTGTACAGCCCCCACAGTAATAGTAAAAAGTAATAAAGGTTTATAGGAAAAAGTGTTTCTTATGGTTACTGTCTCTTGCACTACACTAAATTGTATTTTTATTCAGAACACTGTTAGACCTCCTCTACACCCAATACATTCGAGGTCTTTGGTGACCACAGAGTATGCAGGTTTTTTTTATTAACATTCACACTTGAATCGTTTTAGTATTTTTGCCCCATGATTTTGTGGATATACATTGTTCCTGCTGGAGAGCTTAAAAAGTGTATGTGTTGGGGAAAGCGGGGGGAAGCAAGCACCCAGATCTGTACTCCTTGAAGGTAATGTATATTTTAGATATGCAAGAAACGCTGCTTTCCTAAGCCTGAAAATAGTTCAGAGTATGTTTTTACTATTTTCATCTCATCATTTCTTTTTTAATCCAAATCTGTAACAGCATTAGAACCACCAAGGCTGTACTGTTTCTCTTTTTTTAAATCACAGGATTATGTCAACAAATTGCACCACAAACATTCTCAACAATTTTTGTGGTCACTATGATTTTGATAGTGGCAATTTAGCCAATAGTATAATGTTTGGCAGTGCAAGGGAGCAATGAATTCATACGCCCCTCTTTCTGTTTTATTTTGCCCTAGGTTCTTCTCCCTTGGTCACGTATATCTTTATTTACATTATATTTCAAAACTGAGTTGAAGAAGGGGACGCTATAAATAAACAATACAGATTAATTTGCAGCTTCTCTGTATTCTTTTTCCTTCTGCCAGTGCAACTTCTGCAGTTCTGCCATACAAAGTCCCTGTGTATCCATGTGTCTCACCTTGCAGCAGTGTTGCAGCTGGGTGCATACACAGTGAATGCAATCCATTTGAAATGGGGTTGCTGCCCTTTTAGAGCCACTGCTCCTCGAATTAGACATTAAACATCTGTTCATCTATGGTGGCTGGTGGTGAGGAAGTGTGTGTTCATTCAGTCTTTGGCACCTATGTTGATAGTCCATGTAGTATATTTATTTTTCCTGGTGTCATGGCCAATAACCCTTTTTGAAAAGGTTTACTGCCTAAGGAAACCTAGGATCAATTAGTGAACCGTAATAGCTTTCACAACTGGACAAGCTTGTAAGCTGCTTATAGCAGGGACTGAGTCTTCATCTGTGTTTCTAAAGGAGTGAGAACAATGTCAGCTCTCAACTGGTGGCAGTGTTTGGCCTGATTCTGAAATGAGCCGCAGACCCAAACTCCTGTGGCCCTCAGAATCAGGCTTGTGGGTACTGCGTTATTGTTTTGGTTTTGTTTTGTTTTTTGAAAAAAGAACTTTAAAAGCTCATTACTTTATATATTTATACTTTATTTTATATATATATTAGAGATTTGTCTGTCTGAGTCCATCTGTCTGTCTCTTTGTAAGTCTGTTTGTTATCTAAACGGTAACAGCTGGGACCACCAGATTTGGTATGCAGCTTTCTCTTATCCTAACTTAAAGCAAGGTCAAAGTTTGGCTGTGCCAGGACAATGGGATGTGCCTGGAATTCAATTGTTTTCCGTAAAATGGAAAGCAAGGGGGCAGAGAGGCGGGATGCTATAGTGATCACTGGGACAGGTACACCAAGAAGGGTGAGGCTAGCTGGGGACTGATCTTGCCAGCTACTGGCCCAAGTAAGTGGCTCCTCTGCCCCAAACTCCTCCCTCAGTGCTGCACTTCCCCCCCACCACCACTAGGGCCAGGCAGTACAGCCCTGACCCTCACCCCACAAAAGCCAGACACCTCTCACCGGGCCACCCCTCTGCCTCCCCAGGCCAGCTGGCCTGCTTAGACCCTCCTCCATCCCCTGGGATGGGCCTGGGAAGCACTGGACAGAAGCTTCCACTCTCCCCACCTGGCCCTAGACCAGGCTCAAGGAGTACCAGCAGGAGACCTGCACAGCCCCTTCCCCACTCCTGGACCAGACCTGGGCAACCCTGGGTAAGTCTTCTAATAAGAACATAACTGGGTCAGACAAATGGTCCATCTACCTTAGTATCTTCTCCCCCACAGTGCCAGAGCTTCAGGAGGAGTGTACAGAACGTGGCAACTGGGGTGATCTACCCATGTTTTCCCCTCCTCTTCACTTCTGGCAGTCAAAAGCTCAGGGTCACCCGAGGCATGAGGATGCATTCCCTGTTCATCCTGACTAATAGTTTTCGATGGTCCTGTCCTCTGTGAACTTATCTAGTTCTTTTTTGAAGCCAGTTATACTTTTGGCCTCACGGCATCCCATGGCAATGAATTCTATAGGTTAATTGTGCATTATGTGAAAAAATATTTTGTCTTGTCTGTTACATACTGGCCGCTTATTTAGTTACGTGCCACCTGGCTTTTGTGTTGTGGAAAAGAATATATAACCCCTCCGTATGCACTCCTTCCACAGCGTTCATGATTCAGGACCTCTATCATATTCCTCCCTTAATTGCCTCTTTTCAAAGCTGAAGAGTCCTAGTCCTTGTTATCTCTTCTTGTATGGCAGTCCATTTCATCCCTTGATCATGTATGTTGCCTTTTTCTGAAACTTTTCCAGTTCCCTTATATCCTTTTTTAAGATGGGACAATGAGCACTGGACACAGTATTCAAGGTGTGAGCATGCCCTGGATTTCTATAGTGGCATTGTGATACCTTTGATCTTACTTTTTATCCCTTTCCTTAGTAGTTCCTATCATAGTTAGCCTTTTTGACTGCCGTGGATTGTGCTGAAGTGCTCAAAGTGATTCTAGGACAGGGTGGGCAAAAGAGGGTCCGCAGGCTGAATCCCGCCCACCAAGCAGTTTGATACGGCCAGTGGCCACCCTGCCACTCCCCCACCCCCAGGCTAATTGAGACTTGGGAGCAGGGGGGAAGTCTCCTCCCCCCACCAGGGGCACACGGCATCAGAGGGAAATGCCAACTGTTCAAAACAGCTAGCAGCTCCCTCTACGCATCGTGTGCCCCTGACCAGGGCAGGAGTGAGGGGCAAAGACTTTGTGATAGCTCCACCATCTCCAGGCCAATCAGGGCCTGAGGGTGGGGGAGCATACAAAGTCTCCTCCCCCTGCCAGGGACAAGCTGCACCTAGAGGGAATAGCCACCTTCCACCCAAGGCCATGCCCATTCAGGGGGTAGTTCACAACCACTGCCATCGTGAAGTGACCTCCCCCTCCCCCCACAAAAATTATTGCTCACCCTTGTTCTAGAGTCTCCTTTTTAATGGTAACAGATACTGTCACTGTGTATGTGTAGTTGGGATTCTTTTTTTCCAATGTGCTTTACTTTGCACTTGTCAGTGTTAAATACATAAAGTCTGACAGACATTACATGAGACCAAACCAAAGATATTTCTAAATTTGTTCCTATTCCATTCTGCACATTTCAGCTGTTCCATCAGACTAACTTTTTCTTCTTAAACAATAACTACGTAATGAAATGTAGGGGGTCAGAAATAAGGAATTATAACTTGACCTGTTTCTACATGTTTATATTGATGACAACCATAGTGGCCAACATGTGGGAAGTATTCCAAGTTTGCTGTGATGAAG